CAGTATTGGGACTCAGAGGGCAGTAGGGTTTCCCTTGGGATCTGGAGATTGGGGCAATTTGGATGATTTCCGCTTTGCTTGCACCTTGGAAAGGTAGCCAGGGAGGAAGCCGGCAGAGAAGGGAGGGAAGGAGGGAGGGAGGGAGGGAGGGAGGAAAATGGGGGTGGGGTGGGGGAGGGCTCATTTATTGAGCACACACAGCTTGCCGGACATTGCTTTTGGCTTTTTCATATACGAATTCCACTTAGTCTCTAGAACACTACTGTGAGGTAGGTATAGTTGCTTAGCTAGGAAGTGGCCAGGTTATAGTCCATCCAGGTTTATCTGATTTCAAAATTCTTCCCTTTTCCTCCTAACAACTAGTCTCCACCAACTAAACATACAAACATGAACACCTGAGTATATGCATGTGCATAGGTGTGTTGTGCTACTTAAGCGTTTCTGAAAACTGCCCTATCACCAAGCAACCAAACAATGAGGGTCAATTTCCTATTTCTGGGGTTTTTTTTGTCCTCTTCTCAGACTATAAATGGTTTTCCTCTCTTCAGAGTTGCCCCTAATGTTGTTTTCATCTGGCTTATTGAAGAAAGGAGGAAAAGAGGAAGGGTGGGGCTGAGGGAGATCACTGGTCCCCGTTCTGTTGCTTACTGGGCAAAGACTATTGGGGGGGCAGGGTGGGGTGGGGTGGGGGAATGCCACCATTTTGCCAACCCCCTACCACGCCCCTGTGGGAATTCCCTGGTCTGCTTTAGATAAAGAGTTCAGCCCTGTGTTACCCTCAAGAAGTTGTGTTGAAATCTCCTCCCTTACTGAGAGAGGCAACCATCCTTGGAGAAGCTTCTCTCTACTTCTCTGAAAGAGGAATTGCAGATCTCACGCCTCCCCCCTCCCCCCCCAGTTGCCAGGGGCCTCTACCTTTTTGGGTTTTTTTCCTGAGAGGAAGTGGAGAGAGGAGCTGGAGGTGGGAATGTGCGTGATGAGGCTGCAGCCTGCCTCCCCATTGGTCACCCGCTGCCCAGTGGAGGGGAGCCTGGCCGGGTTTTCCCTGCATCTCCCTAGAGCAGACCCAGATGCTTCAGGAGGAGATGCTATCGCAAAAGGGTTTATTGGGAGGGGGGGAACCATGTGGAAGGGGATGGGGTGTTGGCAGGGACGCTTGCTCTGGGCTCAGCCTCTGCTGCCTGCAGTCTCCATATATTGATTCTCTCCTTTCTCCACTCCAGACTTTCCAAGGGTTTATATTCACTCCAAAAAGAAAAAGCAATCAATCCCCAGGCAAAAGTGTTTGCAGTATTTTTATTAAAGTTTGGTGGAGAGGAGGGAAGAGGAAGGAAAAAGGCTGGACTTGGGGGGGGGGGCATGAGGTGGGGGGGTGATAATGGCTGCCGAAGAGAGAGGGAGAGAAAGGGGAGGCAGGCATGCATGAGAGTCTCAAACCGCGGCCAAGAAGCAGAGAAAGGGCTGGTGGCAACGGGGCGGGGGGGGGGGGGCGGTGTGTGTGCCAAAAGCCTTATAGAAAAAGAGCAAAGATCTGAACAGGAGGAATGGTGAAAAGCTGAAGTGCAAAATGGACTTTGGGATCCTCCTGGTGAAGAATGCGGTGAACAAAATACGAAACAGGCCACCGTGACAACTCAGAGAGACCCAAGTCCTGAGGAGGCAGGCGGTTTGGAGATGCCACCGACATGGCCTGGCAAATAAATAAATAAATGTCAGAGTCTGCTAATATGCTGCGGGCCTTTAAAGAGAGGGAGAGAAAGGAGGTCTCGAGACACCGAGCGACATCAAGAGAAAGCAGCGGCAGAAGAGACAGACAGGGACAAAACACACACACACACACACACACACACAGCCAGACCCCAAGAGAGGGACGCAGAGAGTGGCACAGAGAGAAAGACAGAAAGGCCTGGGAGAGGGGGGTGGCTGGGGGTGGGAGTGGGGAGAGAGGGAAAGTCTCCAGCCAAATGCGGGAGACTTGGCAGGTGGACAGCAGCGGCCGGGCAGAAACTGCACTTGCTGAGTCTAGTCCATTGTTGTCTGGATAAGGGGGGAGAGGGACTTGTTTGTTTGTTTTGTTGTTTGGCCTCTTTGTCTCTTTTGTTCCAAGCAGTTAGTTTGCTCCTTTCCCAGACATGGGCTGATGGAAGCTCTTTATGGATTTTTCTTAAAGGGACAGGATTAGCTAGTTTACCAGTACAGTTTTAGAGATGTCTTAGTCCTACCCAGTTTCCACCTAACTGGCCAGATAGAGATAGAGATCTAGACATACAGCTGTAGATATAGATCCATATTTTAAAAGATCATAGTAAGTGTGGAGGGTTAGTATTTATGCTATTTTTGTGACTAGTTAACAAGAATAAACGGGTCAAGTTCACCCTCCCCCCACCAAGCCTCCTCCTCCCAGGTTGCCAACACTGCGGGGGGGGGGGGGGGGCGGGGGGTTGGGGAGGGGGAAGAAGGAAGGAAAGACAAAAAGAAGAAAACCCTACAAACAAAAGTAAATGGAGACCATACATAAATAACTCCAAACCTTGGTACATGTTCTTACCACCCCCCTTTTTTTAACATCAAGTTGAGAAATATAAACTTGAGGCCTTAAATAAGCTCCAGTAGATGGGCTCGGAAGGACCAGGGGTGGCTAGGACATCCCTCCTCTGACACTGGCAAGACGCTGCTGGCCCCAGGCTTTACCCCCGGGCCAGTTTCCTGCAGGCCCTTCCCAGGCTCCATCCCAGAGGACAGACACGGCGCTGGGGGCTTGGAGAGCCCAGCCCGGCTTGGGTCACCCCCTGGTGCTTGGCCTTCCTGAAGGAACGGACTGTTAACACACTCAGGGGGCCCAGGGCCAGTGTTGGAGGGTCCTGAGTCACTAAGCTGAGCAGAGAGCTGCTTTTTCTTTATTTGAGGAGAGGTCCGGGAAAGGGGTATCCCACAAGCCTTTGACTTTTTCCTTCCACAGAGACCCCCAGCTTCCTGTCCTTCATAATAATTTAAATAAGTTTTGGCCTAAAGCAGAGGGCTTCTGAAGGAAATGAAACTTCAAAACTCTTCCAAATTCATCCACATTCAATTTTGAATTTCTCTTCTAGCCCTCCCCCAAAAAGAATGCCCAGTCCTTTTTCTTAACCCTAACTTTATCCTCTCCTCCCCATCTTAAAATCTCTCAGTGAAATCTAGGGTGAGGGCAGATTAAAAATCAATGCATACAATCCAAGCGCTTTGGGTTCTAGGAAGGGTTGGGGGGGTGGAGGTGGGAGAGGGAAGTGGGGGCCCCTTTGTGTACAGGATCCTTTATATTCCAAGCAAACACAAAACGGACGCCTCTGCCCTCAGAAGTGCGGCTGTCACAGTTGTAGGATAGAGGCTGGCTCTGGGGGCACAGCATACCCTCAGCTCCGCCCCAGCCTCTGGGAGTTTGATACTTAATTAAAGATAGACAATTCCCTCAGCGCTCGCGTTTGGGGGTGGTGGGGTGACGAGTTAAGAAGCAAGCTGCTTACACACACAACTTATCTACCCCTACCGTATTTTTCTCCTTTTGGCTTCCGCGCCCCCCTCCCCACTTCAAAGCTGCCATAGGTGTCCTGCCATCATCCCCACGAAGTTTTGCTTCTGCTAGAAGCAGAAAGTGTCAATAGAAGGATCCAGGGAACCCCCGCCTTTCCAGGCTGGCCCCCTCTCCGAAACAATCTCGGTGACAACGTGGGCCAAGGCTTGCAGGGACCAGCCCGTAGTGAGGGGTTCTGGGGGGCAAGGCGATGCGACCTTGGTTCCTGGTGGGCCCTGTCCGAGTGAGGCCTCTGGGAGGGGCGGCCCAAAGGACCCAGGCAGCACGTGGGACACGTGTTTGCCCAGAGTTTGGAAAGAGAGACTGTTGTGGGGCGCGGGTCTCCCGAGACTCTTGGGGGAGGGGGCATTTGTGGCCAGCTTTGATTTGGGCAGACGTCTCACGTCCCGGGTCACACGAGGTAACCGACGTCCTCCTAACCTTGAGCGTAAACTTGATTCTGATTTGGGCACGTAGGCGCAGCCCCGCTGAACCCGTTAGCTTCTGCGGACACCGCTTAGGGGCAGGCATCGTCTGTGGCCAATGATCAGAGGATCACCACCGGCACGTGGAAAGATCAAAGCAAAGTGCTGGCCTTGACCCTGGCGAGGTCAAGTCCGATTCCAAGCCCAGTCCAGCGGGGTTCAGAAACCGCCCTGCAACCCCAGGCCCAGGAGCCCGCCCGGCGCCATCCGAGGAGGATTTCGTTTCTAGTCCCCGCACGCGTCCCAGCAGCGCACCCGGGGATCCAGTTTCGCCGGAACGTTCCCGTTGACTGGTTGGTTTGAAAGTCGAAGCCCCGGGGTAGTAAGGCTGGCCACAAAAATTTCAAACCCCGCTAATCCTAGACAAAATAAAAACAAAATAGGCCACAAACCAACCAACTTGGGACAAATTCTGTGGTGGTCCCCTGGCTGGGCACATGGAGCTGCGGGACCTGGAGGGAGTGAACCTTTCCATCTCTAATTCCCAGTGTGTGGGAAGACCTCAGGATGGTGTTAGAGCCGGGTCTCCTCTCCATTGCTTACTCGTGTCTTCTAAAGAAGTATAAAAACAACACCCCAAACCGGCCCGCATCCACAGCTCCGGGGAGATGGGGGGCAAGGGGCACAGGAAGCTTGCCTAGAGCCCGAGCTTTGGCACGAATTTGCCTCACACCAAGACGTAGGGTCTCCCAGGGAGACGAAACCGAGGCGGAGAAATCGCGGCCTGGGAGCCCCTGGCCCCCACTCGGGAGCCAACCCGCCCAGCACGAAGAGTGCGTCTCCCGATCCCCACGCCGGGGAACTGGAAGGCAGGGGGACGCTCGAGGCTCCAGCAGGGTGGAACCGTAAAGAGAAAAATCTGAGAAGAGGAAAAAAAATAAATTTGAACAAAACTAAACTACAAGCCCGAAGGTCTCCGCCGCAAGCGAGGTGGGGGAGGAGGGGGCGGGAACGGCCGAGGCGCGGAGAGTGGGGGATGCGAAACGAACTCCATCCCCTGCAGAGTCGGTGCCTTTGGGGACTCCACCGCCGCGCGCTCCCACCCGCAAGGTTTGGACTCGCGGGGGAGGGGGAGGGCGGGAGGGAGAGGAGAGGAGAGGCGGCTAGGTGGAGGGAAGGGGGGTGGTGGTGGAGGAAGTCGTGGTTCTCTCTCTCCTCCTGCCAGCGTCAGCCGAGGCGAGCTTGACTGCGGTGGCAGAGCTCGAGAAAACTTTGGAAAGTTTAGGTAGCGCGGTTAGTGGTGGAGGCGCAGGGCAAACCAGAGCGCTGGGGTGGGTGTGGGGGCGCGGGCTGGATGCCATCAGGAAGCCAGGTCCCGAGGTGGTTAAAGATCCGAGGATCCTGGGTCAGGTCCGCCCACGGCCCCAGAGGCTTCGAGGGGCTGCCTGCGGGACGTTTCTTGAAGAGACAGACAAGACAGAGCCGGTAGTTCGGCGGTTTGTGCCAGTGCCCGAAAGCACTACCCGGAGACGGCTCGGAGCAGCAGCGGCAAAGGCTCGTCTGCCAAGGCGGGAGTAGATCCGCCCGCCCGGGGGCCCGGGCCCCCATCCTCCCCCGCCCAGCGAGGGCCGCGCGCGCCAGGGATCTTTGGGGCGACGCGCGCGGTTTCGAGTCGCGCTTCGGGTCTCTGCGCACCACGTGCGCCCACGGCCTCAGGCGGGGACGTTTGGGCGAGTGCCCCGCAGGGGAGGGGGCCACGCGGCCGGGACCAGGCTTCGGCGACGTCCCAGCCCGCGCACCCTTGCTGGGGGGGGGGGGGGGGGGCGTGGGCAGGACAAAATGGCCCAACCCAACTTCTCCCTGCGCCCTGGGAAGGCAGCGTGGTGCGCCCGCTGGAGCGCGAGGCCGCCGCCGCCCGTTCCACACCCGGCCTGGCATTCTGCTTTTCCTCACTGCGCACCAGGGAAAGGCATAATTCAATTATATCATTCAAGTGCCACGCAGCTTTTTCCTCTTTTGCTCTGCAGCCTAGTGCATTTCGAAGGGGAATCTCCCAATTCTCAAATAAATCTCTCTCTCTCTCTCTAAAGCCCAGCTGGGTTCTGTAGTAATCATTGGGGCGAAATAAGACAAAAAAAGAAAGAAAGAAAGAAAAAAGAAAAACCCAAATCAGATGTGAGTTTACAGTCTGAAGCGGCGTATTTTTGGGCTCCCTGAGCTCCATTCCAAACCGCGCAGCTCACGCTATTTCGGGAGAAGTTGGAGAATGGAGAGAATACTAGGTTATTTAAAGTGACTCCCAGAACGCGACTTTTCCTTCCAACACTCCCTAGGTGTCTGCGTCTGGGTTCCAGCTTAGCGCGGGCCCGGGCGACCCAGCCTTGAATATTGAAACCCGGCTAGCTCCCGGGGGGAAACTACCTGTTGGGAGAATGCGCAGTCTAGACCTTCGGCCCTTTTTTCTCCCGCGCAATCCCGGCAGCGACGGGATGGTTCTGGGTTTGGCACGAAAGGGGAGAGGACAGAGGAGCCGGGAGCGGCGGACAAAGTCAACAGCGCCTGGTACTACCCAGAGAACGGCTGTGGCTCTTTGGGAACTGGAAGCCGACCCCGGTACGCTGTACGGGGCCCCTGGCCGCAGGGATGCGCCCAAACGCTGCACGATTCTCGAAATTCGGAAACCACGAAGCGGTGCCGTTAGTGTTTGCGGCTTGGTGCAAGTGTAACTTAAAAAAAAAAAAAAGCAAACAAAACAAAAACCAAGAAGCCTCCTGGCAGCTTTTTCGACGCCCACCCCCACCCCGCACTCCAACCCCCAGCACTTTCCCCTGCACAGAAAATCACTTTACTACTTCTTAAAATTCGGAAAAGTCCGCCGCCGCTTGGACGCGCGGCAACCCCGAAGCAGCTTGAAGCTCCTGCACGAGTTGCTTGAGGGAAATCACTCTGCTCTTGCGAGCAGACAGAATCTCTGCATCTCCTCACTGGACGAGGAAGCAGAGCTAGCAGTAACAATTTGAGCGGTCTGGGTAGCCCGTTGGGGAATTTTTGGAGGCTGGGGGACAGGGGGCTGCTCTCTCACTGGAACCTGTGGGAAGGACAGTTCGGGCCGGGCCCTGGGGCTGGAAGTCTCATTTGGGAAGCGCGCAGCCCGGCTCTGGCGCGCGCGTTTAATTACATTCTTTCCGCCAAACTCTCCAGCGGAGCCGGCGCCGACAGGACATCGGGGGGATGTGGAGGCACAGGCGGGGCTAAGCCGGGAAATTTCCCGCTAGACGCGGAACGCATTCCGCGTTGTGTCTCCGATGCGGGTTTCTGCTTACTGATAGCGAACCCCGCTCAGTTTTGGGAGCGGTGGAACTTGGGAGAGGCCCTACCAACGGGCCCGTTTGGGGTCCGAGGGTACGAGGAAGCCTTTCTCTGTGATCGGGGGTCACAGCGGGGCTTTCTTTCTCAGGGCGCGCGCTCACATTCTCCACGGTCACAAAGCACTCGGCTTTAAACGAAATGGGGACAAATATTAGGCCACTGCAGGGAAGGAGGGGGGTGAGCCTCATCTTGTTTAGGATACTCGCTTTGACAGCGAAGACTGCCGGGCTACGCGGAAGAACGAGAATTTACTAGTGAGAATTTATTGCCCAGGGACGAGAGTTGAGACTTCGAGCTAAAGGACCGCGCAGGACGCCTCCCGCGCCGCAGTCTTTTATGGTCCTGGCAGTATTCGCCTGTTCGGGCCCCGAAGTCACACCCCTATTCCCAGTCTTAAGTGGCTTTTCCCTTCCCAGTGTGCCTCTTTCCTGTGCCCACTCACCCGGGCTTCGCGCTGCCCAGGACCTTTCGGCGTCCGGAGAAACTCTTGCAGACTTGCCCTTCACCCAGCGCGTACGCGCGGGTGGGCTCTCCCCGCGCAGCCGCGCCGCTGCCCCGGGACCCTCCCGGGCCGCGCAGACCCGGCGTATTTTCCAGCGCTCAGCCTCGGCGCTCCTGTTTTATTTCAGTTCCGTCCCAGGGGCACGGACCCAAGGATAATAAACAATGCTGCTTATTAGAATACAAACGGGCGCAGAAAAGAACCACGCGGAAAAGCAAGCCCAGAGACAGTTGAGCAAGTGGCCAGACATTCAGAGCTGTCTTTGAAAGTGACTCGTAATGTACAGTGGAAGGTAGCTCCTAAAAATTACAGAAATCCGCGAAATATAGGTTTCTCAAAGTACGACGGTTGGAACTATTTTTATTTATTTGGTCTTGCCTCTGGAGAGCAGGCGGAGTTGTTGCTACCTGCCCAAGCCTTTCTACAAGCCGCCTCCTCCTCCCTTACCCCCCTCTTAGATCGCTAGGCCTCACACACAAAAAGGGAGGGGTCTTCCAGGTGTCTGCATACTTTGCTACCGTTATTCCAGATCCCTCAAGAGTTGAAAACACTACCTCCCCTTTAGGCAGTGACAACGCGGGCTTGGGGGGGGGGGGCGCGGGAGATGTCATTGTAACGGGCGTGGTCAAATAATTCAGAGATACGGAAAAAAAATTCTTCCTTTCTTCTTCTTCTTCTTTTTTTAAATATAAACGCAGAAGTTGACAGTGAGAGTGGGGGCTGGTGATTCCTCCTGAGGTGCGGGTGAAACCGATTTCTGCCCTGCCTGATGGCCTTGGGAAAGGGCCTCCCATCTGCTCTGATCGCCACCCCCCCCCCCCACCCCATGTCAGAAAATCTTCCTGCCTGCAAATATTGGCAGGAGGCTGCTACGGCAGGCGGTGCTGCTTTAAATAGGAAGGAGACCGCGGGGCGAAAAGAAAGTCACAACCTTCCTACCCACCAGACTACCTGCCTCCGGTCCCCAAAGGCCAAGCGCTGGCAAAGGAGACTTATAAGGAAAACCTCCGATCTGGAAGCAGGATGGGAAATGAATCAGCTGTGTGTTCCAGGAACAAATCTCTATTTGATTCTCAGGGGCTGGGGTGTCCCAGAACAGGTCTCCCCTGTTTTAGTGCCTTAGCATGTGCACTTCCTATGGCCCTGTCCCTCCACTTTTCCATTGTTGCTGTGCAGATAAAGGTAACGCTGGATAAAACTTCAGAGGTGCTTTAGTCCAGTTCTCCTGGGCAGCATGCTCCTTTTGACTTTATCCAAACAGCCGGCTCTGCTTCTGGTGGTGCTAAAGGGAGGGTCTGGTCTCACCAAAACTAGCCCCTGTGCCCCACACAGAACTCTCATCCGACCCACCGCCTGGGGCTGGCTCTGGCTGGGCCAGGGGACCCGCTCCTGAATTACACCGCCTCTGACAACAAAGGGCATCTCTCTGGAAATGATCATGGTGCCCACTGCTCCCAGGGAATAGCCTAAACCTTCTAAACCTTCCCTCCCCAGCTCCTACCTAAGTTGATGGCTTTGCATGGTGTTCACCCATTTTTGTTTTCTCACTTAATTTCTGTATTATCTCCAGAACTTGCTCAGCTGTCTCCAGCCCTCTCTGCCCACCCTAGAGGCCAGCTTCTCCTAGGAAGGGAAGGATTTGTGCCTGATGAGCTCCAGCTTGCGAGGCCTCCTCTGCAGAGACGGGCTGCATTTTAGAGGGTGCCTCAGGCACTTCTGGTGGTGAGCTTGGCTCTGGCCTTCCCATTATTTTCCAATTCAGTTGGACCATGTCTTGTAATTTTATAGAGGAGGGAACTGAGGCACAAAGAATGGACTTGACTTACCCAAGGGCATTCAGTGAGCCGAGAGCAGAGTCTGCACCGGACCCCAGGATTCTTGGTTCGAAGTCCGTTTGCTCAGTTTTGAGGCTGGTGTAGCTGACAATACACTACTTTTCAGGAAGCATCCCTTGTGTGCCAGGCCATTTGCCGTGCCAGACACTTTACATAGGTTATCATTACGGTAACTCTAAAGAGCATTATTAGCCCCAATAATTTTTTTTTAATTATAAGAGTAATAAATACATAAATCAAAATACTTCAAATAACGCGAAAGGGCCTAAACTGAAAGTAAGTGTCTTACTCTGCCCCCTTTTCCAGAATGATGTTGGTATTTTTCATCCCTTTAGTGGCTCTGTCCATATCTAATAGATGTTACCATTACTTTCTGAATGGGGAGAGGGAGGCTTCCAATCAAGATCACCAGCCATGGCTACCTGTCTCCGACCCAGCACTGCCATCACTCGCTACGGTAGCAAAGGCGAGTGGGAGAAACAAGAAGTGAGTAGTGAGGCCACATTTAAAAGAAGGATCAGGTCAGAGTGCGCATCACCCCTTCCTTTCCTCTCTACCCGCACCCGCTAATGCTACAGTTTTTCAGGAGCTGAGACCATAAACTCGCTTGGTGCAGGTAACCTGATGATCATTTGTGAGGGCTGCGTTCCTTCCAGGCCTCGGTGCAACTGGACAGACAGCTTTCCTTGGGCCCCTGTCACCTACCTGCAGTCACCCCAGTGCTGCCTCCAGCCTGCCCCCCAGCCTGCGCTGGGACTGGGGCAAGCTCCTTAGGCTTCTGATTTCCCTGCCTGTCCCCCTGGGTTGTTGGGAGGCTCAAATGAGAGCCAGGGAGAGGACTATAAACTTGAAATTTCATTATGTAACTAGAGCAGCTCTTTCAAAGGCCTGCTTTAGGCCCCTGTGGCCCTTCAGTTCAAAATAGTGAATATTTAGGGTTCTTTGCAAAAGGGTGTGTTTGTCTGTCGGATATGGGGGTTCGCATTTTGGCTGTGCTGTGTCTATAGAAGCAGGTATAGAAGTGTGTCTTAAAGTGGTAAGGGATGTACATTTATCCGTGAGAGAGGGGAACACTGAGCCTTTGGAACCAGAGACGGCGGTGAATGGGAAGTGGATTTCTTTCTGCTGGAGAACACTTAGAGCTAAGCTGGTGAGGGCAGAAGGAGGCACTGGTCCTGCTCGGGGTGCACAGTGGGTCGGTAAGAAGTGTGGCTGAAAGGCTGATGTTAGACGTTCAGAAGCAGACAGAGGGCAGTGAGGGTGAATGCTGGGCCGCAGGAGCCCAGAACCAATAATTTCATTTGTTTGTTACTATTTCTGTGAGTGGAAAGGAGAAGGGTTTTGGAGGATGCATGCAATCATTCTTTCCGGAGAAGCTAGTCCCGTCCTTGAGAGTTCTTCATTCTGGAAGAATTGTTAGCAAATCCTGAATTGGTGGGGAGGGGGGCCTCCAGGTGAGAGCAAATGATGGGGCAGTGGCTATGGGCTCCAAGGCTTTGCAGAAGAGGAGCCGCTGGGGAGGGGCTGGTGTCTCTGAAAAGCCCTTCTAGAAACATGCACAAATCTGAGTTAGTACAGAGGGAGAGTCTGAGCGTCCAGGAGGAAGGGGAAAAAAAACAAAAAAACAAAAACAGTTTTAAGATGAATGAGGGGGGTTGAGGAGTGGGCCGGTTCCAGAGAGAACCGTGGAAGGAGGGAAAGTCAGATTTTTTTTGAGGCCCAGCCAGACTTCAGAGCCTGCCTTCAATGCGTGTGTCAGGACAAAGGATGCTGCGCCCCCTGGTGTCAGCATCCTAGCAGTCAGCCCCGCTCGCTGACTACAGCGAGCCCCGGGGTCCAGCTGGAAAAGTCCGCGGGTCAGGCGGCTGCCTTTTCTTCTGTTTGCTAAGGGAGTTGAAGTTGAAATAGCCTTTGCTTTCTCGACTCTGGAGTCTAAATAGACACTCTGCTGGAGAGAGAGGGGGAGTTTGTTGCTGTTTTACGTGCAATTTACGCCAAGAGGCCAACGCCTGATTAGAAGTAGCCTGGAGGGGTGGGAAGTCCACGTACCTGAGAGAAAAAACCTGCATTTGAGGTGGAGTGTCGGTCTGGGGCGAACCATTCAACATTTTAGAACCTCCCTTTCCTTGTCTTAGAATCAAAGGGGGTAGAGTACCATGCTTTTAGCCGCTTTCCCCAGCTCCAATATTGGGATTTATGAATTACTACACTATTCTCCAAGAGCCTTGCAAATTGGACATTATTTTTATTTTTATTAGCAGGCAGGTACACATGTCCTATGTTTCAGCCTGAGCTCCGTGATGCTGAGCAAAGGTTTTTGCGTCCCCTTTCCTTATAAAAAGGCAAAATATGCCTCTTTTCAGCACAGAAGCCGTCCCTTCCACCTTTTATGGAGCCTCCCGCAAAAAGCAACAGAATGAGCAGGTCTTCAGTCTCTGCTCTGTTTCTTTTAAAAATAAAGTAGGAAAGTGTCGTGCTGGAAATTATGCTACTGAGTGTTACATGCGGTAGGTGTGAATCTATGCTTCAACAGTTCCAGGCACAAGACCAAAAAACGTCCCCAGAATTAGCAGAGTTTTCAGTTATAATCTGGCTAACATTTCTACAAATAGGGTACAAAGACCAATTTGAGAGTATGCTCTCTCTCCGGGGCTGTATGGTTGGGATTCCGCTGAAATTTAGGGCCAGCCCTTATCCGGTCACATGATTTTAGTCGGCTTGGCCCCAGTAGTGGCTGAGCGATCCCTCTCCTAAGACCTGCAGTCTAATCACTGGGATGAGTAGTCAGCCGTACCTCACGGCGATTTCTTCTTTCAACGCTGCACTTGAACTCCGATCTCTGCGTAATGGCTACATTTTGGGTTTTGTTGGTAAGAAACTGGTTAGAGCCCTGCCAAGGCTCCCTTGAGTCGTCTTGCAGACGTGGAGGGTGGGCGCAGGCGTGGTCATGTAATAGACGGTGTCACTCTTCCAGATGCGGCAGGAGGGGGGCAGGTAGGGGAGAGGTGAACCGGGGGAAGGAGAGCAGCACCCACCAGAGCACCCATGGCAACCGTTGGGGCCCAGGCCAGTGCAGAGAGTTGGAGCTCTGTGCCCCTCTGAAGTGAACAGCTGTGTCGTGGGCTGAATTGACCTCCAAAACTCATATGGTGGAGGCCTAACCCCCAGTACTTCAGAATGTGGCTCTATTTAGAGATGGGCCTTTAAAGGTGTTACTAAGTTAAAAGGAGGTCTTTAGGGTAGCGCTATTCGAGTGTGACTGGAGAAGTCCTTGTAGAAGAGGAGGTGAGGACACAGACGGGTACAGCAGGAAGACCACACACCAAGAAGGCGGCCATCAGTGAGCAGGCGGGCAGAGGAGCGAAGCCTTAGGGAAAAGCACTCCTGCTGACACCTTGTTCTCAGACTTCTAGCCTCCGCTATTGTGAGAAAATAAATTTCTGCCACTCGATCTATGGCACTTTGTTATGGTGACCCTGGCAAAGGGTCGCAACCTGGCGCCAGCCAATTTTGGGGATCCCGTTGAGGGATGTGGACCTAGAGTCACCAATTTTTTTAGGTTTTTTTTTTTTTAATTTATTTATTAGAGAGAGAGAGAGAGAGAGTGAGAGAGAGAGCGCAAGAGGGGGAAGGGTTAGAGGGAGAAGCAGACTCCCCGCCGAGCAGGGAGCCCGATGCGGGACTCGATCCCGGGACTCCAGGATCATGACCTGAGCCGAAGGCAGTCGCTTAACCGACTGAGCCACCCAGGCGCCCACCAATTTTTTTAGTTTTTAAGAGAGGTTCAGAATCTTTCGCTTTTTAAATGTTGGGAGCAGGGCTAGCTTCATGGACATGCACACAGCACCCCATCCTTGGCCCAAGAAGGGCCTCCATACTTAATGTTCTGCTGTGGCCATCTGGAAATTCTTAAATTGTGAACGAGGGGCCGGCGTTTTCATGTCGCACTGGGCCCTACAAACTATGTAGTCAGTCCTTATTGACGACTAACACAAATTTAAAATAAGGTGCTGCTTCCGAGTATGGGGGCCGAAACAAAATATGTTTGAGGCTGGATGTCGCGTGGGGCGCTAGCATGGACTTTTTGTCACCAACTGGATTAGGACCTACCATTCTCTGAGAATCCCCGAGAATGAAATGATGGCGCCCCGAGATTTTCTGGGGGTGGGAGGAAAGAGGCACAGATATTCTGCGGGTGTGATTCCCTGAGATTCTGCATGAGCTAGGGGGCCCTGACCAATATTCTTTTGTTTTTCCCCCCTCAGGCCTGAGCAGTGAGAACTTCACAATAAGAATATGTGGAGGAAAGGCCCAACACGAGGGACTAAGGGGTTGGTTCGGGGTGGAGGGCTGGGCTGGGCCCTGCATGTGGCTGATGCTGGAGGCTTCCCCAGAGTCATCACCCATCCAGGCACTGGAGTCGGGCTTTGGACATTGGAAGGGAGGATGCTTGTTCCCCAGTCTGAGCAGTAGGACCCTGCGGCGCCGTGCAGCCTCATGTCAAGGCAACATGGAGAGACACCTAATAACCACAGTGAGAGAGGACTGGCTAGACCCCCGTTTTCTGCCTGTGGTTCATGAGCGGGACTCTTGCTTTGGAGCGAGTCGGTCCCAGGATTCTTGAGCGGTTCTCAGTTGAGCTGGTTTTAGAGCATTGAGCTGCTTGAGGGGAACCCTGCCTGTTGTAAGGCAGACCTGAGCACTTCCTTGTAAGTCAGTAATACTATTCCATTTCGTGGGGCATGCCATTCCAGTTGATTCTGACTTGGAAGGGGAAGTTTTGCCCCCGATGAAAGGAATGTAGCCAACAGGGAGTAGAGTCACGGGGATATTACAGGGAGGTCCTGTTTTTAAGGAGATGTGTTGATTTATAGAAGCTCACTGAAAATATTATAGTAGAATGTTTGGTCAAGAGTTCTGCTTTTCTGGTTCTCTTTCTGCCCAGTATTGGCTGACTGGGGAGTATACATTTTAAAGGAACTAATTTCTAATGCACATTCATGCACACTCCCTGAGGGAAATGAGTGAAAGACTGTTTGAGACACTGAATTTCTTGGAAGAAAGTTGCTATATAAATTAGTATAGAGCTTTTTTTCTCCCCGCCCCATGACAGGTTTGCAGGACCTGCCGAAGAACTCTCCCATCGTGCAAGAGAGAAAATGAAACTCTCTCCTGGCCTCTGTCAGGGAAATTAAAATTCCCCCACTTTCCTGCAAGTTTCCCCAACCTCGTGAGTCTGATTTCCAGATCAAAGAGTAAGGTTGTATTTTTATTATTCTTTATGCTTTGCATATTGAGAGTCCCTCAAGGAGCACTGTGATGGACTAATTATTGTGGCCTATCGTGGGCAGGCCAGGACTTAGTACAGCAGGGGGATTTCAGCCACACCTGCACAGTGTGACCTGAGCTAGCTCCTCCTCCTGACAAACACTGCCCTCCTCTTTCCTGAAGTGTATGAGCAACACTCCTCCTTTGGGCTGGGCCAGTCCCCAGATTCTTAAGGGTTTGGGGATACTGACCCAATATGTAAGAGGATTGAAATTCTATATGTGGCATTTCTGATCTAATTCATAAATGATAGCTCCTTTAAACATGTGGAAAATAAGAAACCTTGCTAAACATTTTAACTTAAAAGACCATTAGTTTCAAAGAAATGAAATCTATGTCCACATAAAAACTTGTCCACAAATGTTCACAGGAACATTATCAATTATAGCCCAAAAGGGGAAACAATCCAAATGTCCATCAGCTAATGAATGGATAAACAAAAATGTGGTATAACCACACAATGGAATACTATTTGGCAATAAAAATATGGTATAAAATATGGCTACATGCTACATTGATGAACCTTAAAACATTATGCCAGTCACAATGGAACATGTATCATATGATTTCATTTGTATGAAATTCCTAGAATAAACAATCCTACAGAGAGAAAATAGACAAGTGGTTGCTGAGGGCTGGAGGTCAGAGTCCAGGCATTGGAAGATGACAGCACCATGGTACAGAGTTTCTTTTTAAGGTGACAAAAATCTCCTAAAATTAATTGTGGTGGAGAATGAACAACTCTGAGGATGTATCAAAAAACACTGAATTTTGCACTTTAAATGGTGAGTTGCATGGTGTGCAAATTATATCTCAATAAAGCTGTTAAATTATTTTAAAGAAATCCTTTTTTAAAAAGATTTTATTCATTTATTTTAGAGAGAGAGAGAGAGAGAGACAAAGACAGAGAGTGCGTCGGGGGACGAGCATGGGGGGGAGAGGGAGAGAGAATCTGAAGCAGACGCCAAGCTCAGTGGGAGCCCCCCAAGGGGGCTTGATCCCATCACCCCACGAGATCAGGACCTGAGCCGAAGCCAAGAGTTGGACACTTAACCGACTCAACCACCCAGGCACCCCAAGAAATGATAACTTTTAAAAAGACCATTCGTTTATGTCTCTTTCTGAAGCTGATCACCTCGGGACACATGTATTGTGGTTAAAACAAAAAGAAAAAAAACCCACCAGATTTTATGAGCTAAGTAAAATGACAATGTGAAAAATAGTGATTTTCCCTTAGGTAGAGAGCTGACTTGCAGATCCAAATAGAGCCACAATACTTATACCTGTAACTACTTTGAACTTTGCTGAAAAATTTTTCCTTGCCCTGAAATCATTAAAATATATTTATAAGAATAAAAAACAAAACAAAACAAAACAAAACAAAAACAAAATAAAATATATTTAAACAGTGCTGAAGTGACTTTGTTGTTTTTGTCTTCCTAATATTCCTTTCCCCTTCTTTACGTAATAGCACCCCAACTTTCTCTTAAAGAACCATCCACCTTATTTTCAGTTCATGTGGTTTGAATATTGCTGACCCTACGCCTCAGACTCTGTGAGTCAGTCCTGATCGATCAGCACATTTTATCCAGTGGCGTGTGGGAGCTGCCTCATGCCAGCGTTTTTGAACCAACTGAAAAATTTTTAGGAATTTTGTGAGCCAGTTGTTAAATATGATCACCATTAAAATTTAAAGTATGTACATTTATAATTAAATAAATTATATTTAAAACAGAGTTATTAGGCACTCAAAACTCCTCACTTCCTAATTATTTGAATACATTTTATGATTATCCATGCTCTTGAGGTTACTTACATCTATGGGATCTGCATGATTTAAGTGCACAACTGGGCATCTCTTCCCAGCTCCATGGTTCAATGACTTCCTGTTGGCAGCTTGAAATTGATCATTAGCAGTATTAATACCACACAACCATGTAAATGCTGTGTATCAGGGCTTCTCCTTTTTTGTCAAGGAGACTGTTAATCATTTACCAGCTGAAGTGGGTTAAATGGTGCCCCCCCCCCAAAAAAAAGTTTGTGTCCAAATCTCTGGTATTTGTCGATATGACTTTGTTTGGGAAAAGGATCTTTGCAGCTGCATTTATTTATTTATTTATTTTTTAAAGATTTTATTTATTTATTTGAGAGAGAGAGAATGAGAGACAGAGAGCATGAGAGGGAGGAGGGTCAGAGGGAGAAGCAGACTCCCCGCCGAGCAGGGAGCCCGATGCGGGACTCGATCCCGGGACTCCAGGATCATGACCTGAGCCGAAGGCAGTCGCTTAACCAACTGAGTCACCCAGGCGCCCTGCAGCTGCATTTAAATTAAGGCTCTTGAGATAAGATCATCCTGGGTTATCCCGTTGAGCCCTAAATACAATCACGTGTGTCCTTATAAGATGAGGCAGAGGGAGTTCGACACAGACACAGGGAGGAGATGCACAGATAGGACAAGAAGGCAGTGAGGCCACAGAGATGGACTGAAGTGATACAGCCAGAAGCCAAGGAATGCCTGAAGAGGCAAGAAACAGAATCTCCCCCTGGAGGCTCTAGAGGGAGCACAGCCCTGCTGACACCTTGACTTGGGATCGCTGGCTTCCAGAAATACGAAAGAATACTTTTCTGTTGGTAAGCCATCCCGCCTGTGGTAACTTGTGATGGCAGCCACGGAAAACTTTAAGATACGCACACACCACCGGGCTACTATTGTCGGGTCGGGGATGGGCATGTCACCCCAGTTAGGACAATGGGAGGTCAGCTTCTATTGTCAAAGAAACAATCTCTTTCTACTGAGGGGTTGCCGAATGGTGCTCTTTGCCATCATATTTGTCTAAAAAGAATGAACACAGCACAGAAAGTCATCAAGTTGGGATCTAAAGAGAGAAAGAGAGAGACATTCCAGACAATGTTGTTTGAGAACCTGGATCTAGTCTACTACTGGAATTCTCTATTACACAAATTAATTTATTTTCTTTTTAAACCAAGTTCCTAACCAATATGTGGACTTTCAGAGAACATTGGAAAGGGTTCATTTGCACAGACAGGGTTGTAAATACATACAATAATTTGATCAGTTACTATTGAAATCAGGCCTAATAACAAAGACAATCAGGGAAACATATATCAAACAGTGATCAATCTGAGATCTACCTGAATTCAATCATGTTCATTTGTTCCAGAAATCCTTACTGTACCCAACCACGTTTAAAGCGTTCTACAGAGATCCATACATTTTAGAGCTTACAACTTATTTGCCAGTAAGGAGTTTAGGATAGCTCACATTACTAAGGTCACCAGCAGCATTAACTTTTCATTACATAGCCCATATTTTTCTGGACAGTACTAACTTAATATAATTTCATTATTTTTCCTGAAGAGAATTCGTCTAATGCAGAATTAAAATATTTTAACTTCTTTATGAGATTACATTTAAGTACATTCACAAATTATAAAAAAGCTTTTGGCAAATCGAATGGTTTTGGGTTGGGAGAATATTCTAGTGATTTTCTTTCTTTCTTTTTTTTTTAAGATTTTATTTATTTACTTGACAGAGAGAGAAAGAGAGAGAGACAGCACAAGCCAGGGAGAGAAGCAGAGGGAGAAGCAGACTCCCCACTGAGCAGGGAGCCTGACTTGGGGCTCAATCCAGGACCCTGTGATCATTATCTGAGTTGAAGGCAGATGCTTAACCACTGAACCATCCAGGTGTCCCTCTTCTAGTGATTTCCAGTGACACTGTGCCTTTGGTAATTTTGTACTTCTCAGGAATTTTTATTTTCCATTATCTTAGTAATTTGTTAGCACGGATAGGCACATTTCTGAAAGGATGGTGTCACAGGAAGTCCCAGAGATAGATATACTGTATTGAATATTTTTAAAATAAAAGGACTATCTTTTAACATATATCCTTTCTACCTTTATTTTTTCAGTTCAGGAGATTTAAAATTAATATTGCCCCATAATTCTATTTCTTTCCTATACCTTTTCAAGTAGTTGTTTTTTGTTTTTTGTTTTTGATGAACACATTTTCATTTTGGATGAATTCTCAGTCAGCTTTTTAAATCTAATTAAACTCACCTAAGTTTAATTAGTATTAGATAGTATTTGTGGTTAGTTTCTTTCTTTAAAAAAATTATTTTATATTTATTTATTATCTATTTATTTATTTGGGGGAGGGAGGGGCAGAGGCAGAGGGAGAGAGAGAATCTCAAGCAGGCTCCATGCCCAGCCCAGCATGGAGCCTTGCGGTTATTTTCTTAATAGTTGATAAACTGAAAGCTCATCTTTGGGAATTAAAAAAAAAAAAAAAAGGTTCCTGAGGATTGCTTGCTGCTGAAAGAGCCCATTACTAATAATAATGTCACTAACATCAATAAACTAGTGTCGACTGTCTTGACTTAAAACAGAAATGAACTTTCAAGTGCAAATGTCAAATATTATATTATGTTTAACACTTTATATTTGCTAATGGCATTACTTATCAGAGAAAGAATTGTTCTGAGTATTTGCAAGGCAAACAACAACAACAAGAAGCAAACCCATAAGTCACCGAACACATAAAGAACAAGCAGGCAAACCACACACACGTAAGGCACAGGGATCAGAAATTTCACCAGGACATACAGCAGACATTAGTCAATCGATAACAATTCAAGTCTACTCTCAACTTTGAGTCTAGAACAATCCTCTCGTTGCTACAAAAAAGTAGCCGTCAAAATCTTTTGGGAGATTAGCATCATCACCAACATGGACTGCAAGGAAAACATGAAAAAAATAAAAACTGAGCTTTCAGATTACCCATTTTTATAGCCCCATAAAAGTCTAAAATAAAAATTGGGGGGCGCCTGGGTGGCTCAGTTGGTTAAGCGACTGCCTTCGGCTCAGGTCATGATCCTGGAGTCCCGGGATCGAGTCCCGCATCGGGCTCCCTGCTCGGCGGGGAGTCTGCTTCTCCCTCTGACCCTCCCCCTTCTCATGCTCTCTGTCTCTCATTTTCTCTCTCTCAAATAAATAAATAAAATCTTTAAAAAAAAAAATTGGGAACACATTAAGTTCACCAAAGACAGGTAAACAGACCCAAAATAAGTGTTTAGGAAGTCATTTTCTATTAGCAAAAGCAGCTTTTCACATTACTCTTTCTTGGTAATGCTGGCTAAGGAGAACCCAACCAAGTTAGCTTTTTTCCTAAGGCTAAAAAGAAACTCGCCACCAAAGTTGAAATACAAGGAACCGGAAAAAATCAGTGATTTGTTCCCTGATGGTAACTTTATGCCGGAGACACAAGAGTTTCTTTACACTAAATCGTTTTCTTCATGTGGAAAACACTGATTGAAATCTAGGTGAATGGATATAATTAAGTACTTGTGTGGCTCCAGCTTTAAACTGCCCTTTTTTTTTTTTTTTTTCCATCAAACACCTCAACATTTGCCCGGTAACCAGAAGAGAGGAAAATTCTTAAGCCTTCTAAGAGTGAGGCCCTCAAGACATTTCCAAGCTGCCTGGACAAAGGCTTGGAATGACTACAATAGTGAACCATCCTGCCTTGGACCTGAACCTAGATTGATGACCTAATACATCTTTTCCAACTCTGACTGCCATGGTTTTATGAGCATCAAGAACTGGGCGTCTGCCATGGTCAACAAGTACAGCTTCTTCGGAGCTCGAACATCCACAGAAACTCAAGTATCGCCCAAAAGAACGGAGATCGCACAGTCTCCCGGGGCTCTGGGGTGCTGCCTCTAGCTTTCACGTGTGACCCCGAAACTCCTCTTTGGCAGGGTAACTCTTAAAGGAAAGTAAGTGTGTCCGTTACTCTCCCCTGTTATCTTGGTTCAAGAACTCTGAGTCAGACCAGGGCAGATCTCTGGGAAGCTAATTAAGCTTAGCTTGAGGCCCTGTCCTTTTCAGGGGCCTCTTCGGAATACTGTACCTAATTTTGTATTTGTAATTTTGCATTTTCTGTAACGAAGAGTCCCCTTAATTGTATAAGCTATAGCGTCCCCCACCCCCACCCCCCGCCGCCACAGTAAGAATCTGCCCCTGAGCTGGGTAAATTGCACCACATCTTAGTTTGGTAGGAAAGTGTAAAAATTAAATACAAACTCTTCTTCATCTTTTATGACACCCCCCCACACCCCACCTCTGGCAAGTCACAGTTAAAGAAGAGACCTCTTAGAGTCTCTGGTTCTCAGAAGTCCTCTCAACCACAGCAGTGGTTCAAAAACTGATTGCATTTTAAATTTATTCTCCTTAGCTCCTCTTTAAAAGAACATTTCGTTGTGGGCTAATTATTACAATGGCTTGTAGACTCTAAAGGCCAGAAGAATTTCCACGAGTGGCCTCCCTTTGGTTAAGCTGCATCCCTCTTCCAATTTCAGCTAAGTTTTGTTTTCCAGTAAAGTTAATGGGTTTGGACTAGCCTTCTACACTTTTGTAACAGGGCTCTCAAGGGACCAACCTACAGCAATATTTATTTTTTCTGATTACAAAAGTAATGGCATATCTATATAAATATATATATACACATATATAAATAACTTGAAACACTATAGTAATATGTAGCATTGAAAGTGAAAATCTTCCATAATCCCACACAGCTGAGAAAACCAGGTAACATTTTTTTCAAGGCACTTATTAAAATTTCATTTATTATTTTACAAAAAAATGGGATTATAGTTCAACTTTGAAGCATGCTATTCTCCACCTAGTAATATGTCTTAGACATCTTTCTATGCCAGTCTGAAAAAAGTGAGCTTCTTTTTAATCTTCTTTTTAATGGCTTCACGGTATTGTCCTGTAGGACCAAACCATACTATCTTTAACCAATTGCCTGTTAATGCACATTTGGGTTCTTTCCAGTTTTCCCTGTACCAAATATTCTTGCAAACATCATTTTACGCTTACATCTTTGAGCCGTTGTAGGAATATTTCTCTATGATGAATTCCCCGGAGGTGAATTATTATTGGGTCAAAGGGTATGAACATTTCATTTTTAATAGCTATTGCCAAATTGCCCTCCAATAATTTTATACCGATTTACACCTTCAACCACACTGTAAGAAGGAGCCTGTTTCCCCACCACCACCCCCCCCTTAGCAACACTAAAACCATGCAATTTAGGGATGTCTGATGTGAGTTAGGAGTTAAGAGGTTCAGCCTGTGGAGTTTTTTGCCTTTGTGAAAAGCTAACAAAGACATCAAAAGTCTCCCCCTTTCCTTGATGAACCCCCTGCTCTGAGTGGGCCGATACCCAGACAGACATCTAGCTAATGTGAGAGGTAAAAATGCTAACACCTAATGCTTGTATCTAGCTGGTTTTTTCAGAGATAATTTGTTGTTGAGTGTATAAGCAAATGTGTTAGTTATAGAATACTTAATAACTTAATTGTTCAAGAAATAGAAATCGGTCCTGACGTCAGCACTGCTGTTTTAATGTAAACAACATATTTAATCTTAGAGCATCAGTATGTTTACATCTGCAAAACTCCTTGATTTCATCTTTACGTTTATTGGTGCAAAGCAATTTGAAAAAGCTATTCTTTAAAGATATGTGAAAAGTGGCTTTGAGTCGGCCCTATTAAAGAAGAACAAGGTTTGCCAATACCCAGGTTTCAGGAATTGTTTTGAGGATTACCATGGTTTACATCCCCGGAATTAGGATCGCTGGGCTTTAGACGGGAAAAAACTTTAGGGGTTATCCAGGCAAAAGATTTCAAAACTCTGCTCCACAAAGCCCTGGGGTTGCTTCAGGGAGACAGAAGAGGTTGGTGGCAGAGAAGGCAGGCGGCGGTTAAAGGTTCGTGGTATCCCAATCCTAATTGCACCACAAGAGTCCTGCTTTGATCTCCTTCATATGGTGGGTTATATATTATGTCATCTGGAGCAAGTTGATCTCTTATTTTCCTCTTCTGTAAAACAGACACGATAACAGTGCCTATTTAGGAGTAGTGAAGATTAAATTAAGTAATACTATACACGTACAGCGCTTAGCCCAGGGCCCCACACATGTCAAGGACCCAGGAAAGGTTTACTAATCTATTATTTAAGATTTTCCTTTGAAAAGGCATTCTATTGCTTACATCTCAAAACCACCCGTTTACTTCTGCATCTGTACAATAAGGTGATTATTTTAGGTGGAGTTTTAGATTTGCTTGATTTCCTGCTACCCAGTCCAGTGATCTTACTCTCAGATCCCAGGACATGTTGCTGGAGATGCTGGGGGCTCGGAGGATAACTGGTCTCCCCCACACCAGGTGGTGGCCCTTTCCACCCAGCTGGCCAAGATCATGGCTCCTGTATCTGCCTTGCTCTTGATTTATGAAAGAAATATGACCTTGTGAAGAAAAGTTTTCCTTGCACTGTGGCCGAAGTTGCCCTCAGGTTCACCCCGAGAATCGAACATGAAAGTTGCGAACTGTTAGAAACCTTAGCTAGTTGCCATCTCTTCCATGATTATGAGGACAACTGAAAGGAGTTCCGAAATGGACCCTTAAGCCTTCTAAAACTGGCTGAATTTTCTGTTCTTGGCCAGACACTTGTAAAAGGAAGAACTCATCCAACAAACATACACCCTTATCAATCCTTTTCTTAGGAAAGTTTGTCTTCGTGTAGGGGAAGTTTTCAAGTTTTCCTAGTGAATCACAGACGTGAGGCAGGATGGGGAGAGCTTCAAGCATCTTCCTTTTTGAGTATGTCTAACGTGACACCAAAAATCAGGGAGTGAGAAGCAAAACCTTCTACACTGTGCATCTTTTCTACCCAAGAACTGCTTCCATGCCAGTCGCTGCTGCTGTCTGAGAGCCAGACGTGGGCTTGGGGAGGGGCTTCTCTGTGTCAGGGCCATTCAGGGTCTGTGGTAGACTGAGCAACAAGTAGACAGAAAAGCTGTAGAATTAAGAGTTGAAAACAGCGTTTAATGAAACCCCTCCCTCCAGACGCTCTTGATCAAAGTCTATCCTTGCACTAAGACAATTGATCTACAGTTGCATACATAAAATTTTGGCAACACTCTGTCCTCATTGCTTTCAACAGAGGCTTTAGACCTCTGAGACTGGGCATTGTCCCAGAATTGAGATCCAGTTGCATTACGCATACCAGAAGACACACCACCACAGCCGAGGCCCGTGCAACCACTTTCTTTTAACCTCGCGTCTGTGAAAAATTACTTTCCAAAAAAATAAGTGAAACCCGATGTCTTCTCCGGGTGGTTATTCTTGCGCCTATGAAGTCAATAAAACTCTCCAGATTTATTAGACAGCCCTGCTGCGGAAGACAAGACCACTTCCTATTCCCTAGCAGAAATGTGTGCCTTTCCTTTCTGTAACCTTCTGACCACAGATTTTCATTTTACTCTGTTTCTTTTATTTTTCTCAGAAAACTGGTCAGAACCCTGTAAGATAAGTGGCTTGGCCTGCACTAAAATTCCAATTTCTGGCCTCCAAGAGTGATAAAATGAGCACATTTCAGGCTCCTCTAGCTTTTCTTGTTTACTTCCCATTTTCGAGAGGCCCTCTTTTCTTCAGGCCAGAAGTAGCAGAGTCTGGTCGTCTCTCCTGCCACCATGCTAAGCATGAAATGTAGCACCTACCAACAAATTATATTCCTGTGATAGCCCACTAACCAGGGGGTGATGACCATGAAGAAGATGACTGGATTCAGTTCTATTTACTACAATAGTATTTATTGAGCTCCTACTACATAGCAAGGGTCTTTCCTGGGTATGAAGATGCAAAGATATAGAGGATGTTGTGCCTTCTTTCAAGGGTGAAATCAACACGTTAATGAGTAAAAGTCTGAGTGTGACTGATTCCGTAATAAACAACGTTGTGGGATACAACAACTAGAACATGGGAAGGGACTGAAAGTTTTCTCAGAGAGGATGACTCTTGGACTCTGTGTTTAAAGATGAGTAGGAGGTTATCAGATGAACTTGGGGAAAGGCAGCCCGAGCAGAGGGACCAGCAAGCACAGAGAATCAGAGGTGTGGAATAGCAGGGCATATTTGGGGCCTAAGAAGTTGTATGCATTGAATGAAGGCCAAAAGATTGTAAGCAACCTGTGTTCTTACATGAATGTGGGTATATTTTTTGGTGATGGGGAGCTACTGGATGGGTTAAAGGCTTGGAGCGATTGTGGTAGCATGAGCAAGGAGGTGGGGGACAAGTGGCCGAGAGCTATCCTGGGGAGGCATGAAGACAACCTAAACTGGGCCAGTGTGGTCGAAATGAAGAGGGCGATTCAGAGCGAGAGCAAAGAAGACATGAAAAGGAAGTAGAGTGGTAAAGACTCTCACTCCAGAATGACTTCTAAGCGGTTGTATTCCATTATTTAAGAGTGCAAATTACCTCCAAAATGCTTTTAATTGTAAGTTACTGACTCACTAATTCTTTTTTCTCCTACCTATTTCCAGAAATGACTTGAGGTAGGAACCAATTTTGTACCTAGAGCCAGGTCCATCCTATATGACTGTGGGGCCTTTGGCCAATCGATGAGCTACTGAAGAGCATTTTAGGACATTATTGCTGGCTCAGTCATTCTGAATACCATTAAAAGAAGTTTATACCGGGCGCCTGGGTGGCTCAGTTGGTTGAGCGACTGCCTTCGGCTCAGGTCATGATCCTGGAGTCCCTGGATCGAGTCCCACATCGGGCTCCCTGCTCGGCGAGGAGCCTGCTTCTCCCTCTAACCCTCCCCCCTCTCATGTACTTTCTCGCTCTCTCAAATAAATAAATAAATCTTAAAAAAAAAAAAAAAGAAATTTATACCAGTGCTATCTTGACTAGTTTCAGTTTGGATTATCCTCATGTTAATACGCCATATATCTTAACTAGCACTTCCTTGGGTGATAACTTCTAGTTCATTTACTCATATTTTTGGGCATTAAGAGAGAAGACGCTCTTGCCTACATCACTCATCTGACAAAGGAAAAATGAAGTGCAGCATTTGGGGAGTCAGATAACTCTTGGTTTGTTCCCCATGAACTTGGGCAAGGTGCCTAAGCTTAGTTTCTCCAATTGCATAAGGGAACAACATCAATATCTACCTCAGAGTTTTGGTGTAAGAATTAAATGAGCTAGGGCGCCTGGGTGGCTCAGTTGGTTGAGCGACTGCCTTCGGCTCAGGTCATGATCCTGGAGTCCCTGGATCGAGTCCCGCATCGGGCTCCCTGCTCGGCACGGAGTCTGCTTCTCCCTCTGACCCTCCTCCCTCTCATGTGCTCTCTCTCTCATTCTCTCTGTCTCAAATAAATAAATAAAATCTTTAAAAAAAAAAGAATTAAATGAGCTAATGACTAGAAAGTGCTTGGCACTTAGAAAGTGCCAGGTTCATAGTGTTCTCTGCCATGCACTGGGCTAATGGTTAGATGATAGTGTCTCGTGGCAATCTTCAAGTTTTACAAAAAAGATCGTTTAAGCTCTTTTTTTTTTTTTGAGGGCAGGGTTTATTCATCATTATATTCCCAGTCCCCAGAATAGGGTCTGCCTCAAAGCACATGAAGTGTCTTGCTAAGAGGGATTCAACAATTACTCGTCCAAAGTCGAACATCTAGTAAAGAACATGATCAGGATTCAGATCTGTGCCTGCATGATTCCAAGCCCAGTGCACCTTTAATGATTGTTTTTTCTTTTTTCCCCAAAAGCAAATGATGTGGAAGCCAGCTGAAGTGCTGTTTTGTGTTTTCTTTTACTACTAGCTATTAAATTATTTAAGTATCATAAGTTGGGGTTCTCAGTATAAGTAGTTTCTGTCCATATCATTTAAAGGTCATTTTCCAAGTATTTCTATATGGGTCAAGCTCTTGGCTAATCATCTTCCTTCTTGAGCCCCAGTTCCAGTTTTTAATGCTTTCTTGGTGAGGTTCACCTACCAGAGTCTTCATTTTTTTAAAAACACATAAAACTTTATTCAGTGTTGAAAATCTCATATGAGATCCGAGTCTTCTGAAGGCACTTTAGCATTAATATCTCCAAGCTCCACCTCATCAACCAGCCCCTCACCTCTCCCTTCTCCCACCTCACCCTCTGAAAGCCCTGTTTCCCCCTAGATCCTGATAGATGGCATTTTTATCCACCCAGACACGTTAAAGATGTTGGATTCAGTCTTAACTCTTTCCATTTTCCTTATGGAACTGGTCACCAAGCTTTATTGTTTCTACCTCAAATAAAAAATGTTTTCAAATCTGGCTTTTCCTTTTTCTCTCAGCTGCTACTCTCAATCAGTACTTCACCATGGTTGGCCTGAGGAGTTTGGCGAGCTTCCTATTTTGACCTTCTTACCTTCAGTCCCTTCCCTCACCAGCGTTTCGAAGGCAAAATTATCTTCCTATAACACAGAGCAGATCAGACGTTCTCCTGCTCTAAGAACCTTGGCCGTGCTCCTTCACCTTCAGTATCAGAGCCTCTGCTCCCTACTATGTAATCCTATATTTAAAACCAAGCCCAGTCAGATTTTCCCGCCACTCTCCTCATGTGTCCTTGGCTTTAGCTGGACTGCACCACTCCTTATTCCCCAAACACCCAACACACTTCAGGACTTTGTGCCTCTTTTCCAGCTGCTTCTTCTGCCTGTAATGACCTTCTCCTCCTTTTTGCTCTTGGAAATTCCTGCTTATTCCACAAGGCTCAACCCAACGTCACATCCCAGTGAGGCCTTCTCCACTGCTCCGTGTGACTCAAGGAAAATTAATGACTCCCCCTCTGCTTTCATCATAGCACTCCCATCACTTTTATTTTAAAAGTTTATTTAGTTCTTTAGTATTAATGGTCCATGGAGTCTCAAGGTCAAAGGCTACTTATTCATTGATATAACGGCAATCCCAACACAAAGATAATTCCGTATTTTCTTTCCTTTCTTTATTTTTTTTTTTTAAGATTTATTTATTTGGGGACACCTGGGAGGCTCAGTCAGTTAAGCGTCTGCTTTCGGCTCAGGTCATGATCCCATGGTCCTGGGATCGAGCCCCGCTTCAAGCTCTCTGCTCGGCAGGAAGTCTGCTTCTCCCTCTCCTCCTGCCCCTGCTCCTGCTATTTCTCTCTTTCTCTCTCACTCTTGTGCATGCGTGCTTTCTCTAATAAATAAATAAAATCTTTAAAAAATGTATTTATTTGAGAGAAAGAGAGTGCGCGTGTGTGTGGGGTGAGGGGCAGAGGCAGAGAATCTTTAAGCAGACTCCCTGCTCAGTGTGGAGCCCGTCATGGGGCTCGATCTCACCACCGTTGAGATCATAACCTGAGCAGAAACCAAGAGTCCGATGCTTAGCCAACTGAGCCACCCAGGTGCCCCCAGTTTTCTTCTATTTAAGGAAAAAGAACACATGGCTTTTTTGAAAAATAAGTGAATAACAGTATAAAGCGGTAGAAGAGAGGTAAATCATGTAGAAAGTGCAACAATATCAGATGTTTGGGAATTTGGGTCTAGCCTGTAGCAGGTCCTGAATAAATGTGAGTTAATCTATGAACAAATTTATTTTTTTCAGGTTCTCTATTCTTTTTATTAAGTTTTAACTCCAGTATCGTTTAACATGGAGTGTTATATTAGTTTCAGGGGCACAAGATAGTGACTCAACACTTCTATACATCACTCAGTGCTCATTGTGATAAGTGTATGAACAACTGTATTTTACAAATACTTGACTTCACCCTGGGCACAACCTTGTTTAATAACAAAGGTAAGGCATAGCTATGAAAGAACAGATTGGTCTCAGGATCATATGAAACTAGAGATCCATTAAACTTAGATGACCCCAACAGTGGAATTTCTTCAGACTTAGATGCTTTCTTACCCTGCCAGGGGTCACCCTCACCACGGAGGCGTTTTAAAACCCTGCTTGGAGTTCTGTCAATGTCTTTGTTTAAAAAGCAATTTCCAAGCCGCCAAAGGACCAACCTTTTCTCGCAGTTGTGCAAATCTGTTATCTCTGGAACTTCTGCCCTTGTTTCCATCTTTATGTGTCAGCTTTGGAGATGAGCTTTCACTTTGCTGTTGCCGGAGCAAACACTAACCCAAACGACTGTAATACTAAACTCATCTAAGCTCCTACTTAATAGGTTATGCAGTTTACAGATCTCTCTTGAAGGGTGTTCTATGGTGTATAGCACCTGTTTTAAAGAAAGTCAACTCTCACTGAAGGGAGTCAGGGGCTCTAGGTTCTAGTTCTGACCCTGCCACTGGATCGCTTGTGTGACCTGTGGTAAGTCACTCCAACACTAGTCCTCTCTTCTCTGTGTCAGGAATGGGAAAGATTGCAAATTTGGGGCACCCAGGCCAGATCTGGACCACAAAAGCACGTTGTTTACCTCTTACAGTATTTGAATGAGGTGGCAATTTAATTGGGAGATTTTATATAAGGACACAGGGTTTTATTTTCTCTTAAGAAATCAGAAGATCTGACTACGTGGGTCCCCTATTTCTACTCAATTTGTAGTAGCTGCCCCCTTTAACAGAGCGTGGGCTCTCCAGGGTCCCAATGATCTTATCAGGTTCCATTGCCCTTTCGTCTGCCCTACACAGAGGTAAAATACCAGTTGCTATTTGTCATTGTGCTTGTACTCAAGGATGATATTGAAAATATTTCACTACTAAGGCCTGGGGACTGACCTATCAGAATGGACACCTTTGTGCTAGAACAACATCCTGGGGGTGCCTTGCTCTCCCCAGCTGTTGGATCATGGGGAGATCCGAGAGTTCCCGGGGAAAGGACAGATGCCCACTGATGGGCATCACCCTGGGCTGAGAGCAGCCTGTAGACCTCAACTGGTAAGGACGGTGCTAGCCTCAGATGCACACCACCTAAACGTGAGCCCTGCTGGGACTATAGTTTTCTCACAGTAGAGAGATCTTTTCCTGTCCCCATGTCTCTTACTGCAAACAAGAAAATGAAAGAAAACTAGAGCGAAAAGGCAGAACGATTGTTCCTGCCCTCGGTTGCTTTGTTCATTGACTTACTAGAAGCTATGGCATCTGAGTTTGATTTCCTGGTACTAACCAATCTATAAACTCTTTTCCAGCCTAAGCATAAGGAGCCTCTAATTTTATCCATTTCATAAATGGAGTGAAAATTTTGCAAATCATCTTGGAGAATTTTGCAAATCATTGTACAGAATTTATATAAGGTCTAAAACACTGTTAGAAATAATAAATCACCAATAAATTATCTCCATCTTATTACTGGGCTTTTCAATTTTAAAAGCACTCTGATGTTCTTTTTTTTTCTTCCTTTTTTAATTTAGCCATGGCTATTTTTCAAATGGAATTAATGACCGAAAGCTAGCCTCATTCTCTAATTACAGTAAGAGACACTAGACAGGAGTTGTTCCAGACACTGACCCATCTTGGCTCAGGGAGAGGCTCTGGGCAGTTTTACTATGTGCTGGCTTAGTACCTGGGGCCAGGAAACATCTGTTATAACATGCAGTCCAGCGGGTGCTCTGCTTAATTATAAAATGGCATTGCAGTGTCCCTTTGGGTCGGCTGCCCTTAGCATCCAATGCTATGCTATCAAGCACAATTAAATTCTCCATGTTCTGTTAACTGAATATCCAACACCAGTGTTGAAAGGCCTGGAGGAGAGTGAAAAAGTTAAACCTTTGCCCTCTGGAAACGTGTGGGGAAAGACAAAACAAAGACACGCTTCCTACAAGTAACAGAGAAGCTTAGATATGCCTGGGTGTCACCTATATAGGGGACGGGGGAGCTGATTCCGGGATGACTCACACTTCTAGAATGAGCTGTTTATATAGTATGGGCTCCTCTTCACTCCAGGGGTCCTGTTTGGAAGGTCAGGGACAATGACAATTGAGAAGCAAAGAGAAAACTGGAGAAGAGTGGAGGAATGCTTGGAACACCGAAAGACTCACTCACCTTGAATACGAGGCCACATTCATTGCTGTAATGAGTTCATGCAATCAGTTATGGCCCAGGACTTAGAGTTTATTCTTGGAACACATATGCTTGGGAATTCTTCATAATGGCGTGAAT